GAGGCAATAAAGCACGTGGGAAGAGATTATCCATCTTTCTCCTTTAAAGCAGTTGGTGGATTTGAACCATGTGCCTTTTGGTTAGCAACACAGCTCCTTACCACTAGACCACCAGAGCTCTCTGGTACAGTGGGCTGTTAACAGTGACCATGACTCAGTATTAGTGGAGAATCAAATAGCAAATCTTAGATTTAGGAACCTTCTTGTAAGGAGAAGTGCATCTCACCCTCCCCCACATTAGAGACATTGTACTAAGCTTGACAAAGTAACAAGCTGATTCAATCTGTGATTTTTTTTTCTTTAGTTGGAAAAACACTTCTGCCTCCATATTGCCACTTGAACTTCCTTTTCACTCATGAGTTAAAAAAAAATTCTTAGAGGTTTTTTCCTTTTCTTTATATTTTAGCTGTCATAGATACAGTTTCCACTGATTATGTGAAGATGTGAGGAAATTACCACAGTGAGAAAATTCTATATTTGAACTTTCTTTTCTAGTAGATCACACCTAAATACCCCCTCTCAGGCTATATTCCCTGGATAATGCCTCTTTTCTCTATTCCATTCTCTCAGACACATTCTTAAGAATTTTCCCATTGACCCTTGGTAGATGTTAGAATGATAGAACAGGGAAGGCTTGAAAGAATCAATTGACAAAATATTGTCTGTATGAGCCAACAGACACTAAACCCTTGAGAATTTCTGTTTCCCACATTTTTATCACTTATGATGTGTAGTAGCTTCTTAATAAATACTTGAATAAAAGAACTAGTGCATAAATATAGGAAATTCGTAACTATTTCCACATTGATATTTGGTTAGAAGGATGTTTTCTGAATAGCATTTCTCTGCCTCTGTGAAACAGACTCCATTCTCACATAGAGTTTGCCAGTTTGTGGTGACAGACCAGAAATGAATATAGTTTAGGGGTCAGAGATTAGAAGAGATTGTCGGTGAGATAGTCCTTCAGAAGGACCTAGGATACCATTACCAGAAGATCCATCTTTTTTCTTTTTTTTTAATTAAAGTGAAAACTTACAAATCACATTGGTTTTTCATTCAATGATTCATAGATATTTTTATAACTAATTAAACCAAATCCAAGGCAACCAAAATATGACTTTGAGTCTATCCCAACTGAATTTCAGAACCATCTCAGGAACAGGTTTGAGGCTTTGAACACTAATGAGCAAAGGCCAGATGAGTTGTGGGAGGATATCA